CATATAGTCAGCACTGCCCGACTTTCGTCCTTTTCCTACTGGCTGTATACACCAATTTGTCACAATTTTGTTTTTATTTATATATTTCCTTGTGGGCAACACTACTCGAATTTTATTCGCATGCTTGGATTTGCGCCAAATAAATATGACTCAATTGATAACGTTGCGAGCTCTTGCGTTGCTCGTTAATTACTGGACATGTAAAATAGTTTGAAATACCGGCATTTTAAAAGTGACCACAATAACACCAACTAGAGTTAATGCAACCTTTTGCTCTGTTGGCCAATCTAACTAACCAACTAACAGTGCTGATGGTAGATCTGCCATTGCAAAGAGATATGCCAATACTAAGAGAAACTCTCTTTGCTATTTGTCTGCCCCGGTAGTTTATAAATTGAAAAAATTTAATAAAACTTACCACACGCAATTGCAAGCCAACAACGCTCGTCTCTGCTCTGTTTGTGCGATGGTATTTTGCGTTAACTTAACTGCGGTTGACGTCCTCTACGGGTTGCGTTGCGTTAACCTGTAGTATTATTTGTCAACAAAGCATAACACAGTGGGAGAATGTTGGAATTTCTTTAGTAAGCCATATGTCGATAATTGATAGATTCTAAAAAATTGGCTGTAATTTACCACTCAGATTAATAGAGTAGAAAAATATTTGAAGAAGTTTGTCTTTTGTGTAAGGTTTGTAAAAATTTAAGAAAATTTTATAATTTAATTTTCTCAATTTTATTACAAAAATAATTAATATATCGTCTTGAAAATTAGTATACGAGAATTTTACGCTGATCAAGAATAAATGTACTTTGGGTCTAAAATTATTATTTCGATGAGTTACAAACGGAATGACGAACTTAATATACTATGTATGGTGGAGGATATTACTCTGATCAAGGTACGAATATTTCGGGGTTTTACAAACGGAATAGTAAAATTAATATACCCTCATCGTATGAAATTTGTAGAAGAAGGTACAGTTTAAACTACCCTCAATCATAAGGTAAAACCTAAATACTTCTAACAGTTACGCATTAGAAATTACAAATTATATCCAATCAATTTGAAATCTTTAGTAAAATTGAGTTGTGCGTTACATGATAAAACGTGGGCATGCCATTTTTGATCGAGGTGCTTTATCGATTAGCATTCTAAATTAAATAATAGTCTCATGGCTGGAAATATTTATCAGGACCTTCCAACCAATTAACCATGAACCTGATTGACATTTGTAAATTGAAATTACAGCCAATCAGGAAACCGAAACCACCAAAAAATCAAAAATACGGGTTAGATGAAAACACTGCAACCATCTTCAGACTGCTGTCATTTTAAGTCACTCGTCCGACAGCTGTTAAAATTATTCCAGTGACAGCTCATTATATTTTTTACAAGCGTACAAAAGCATTTTGGTAAGAATTTTCCAGAAAAAAAGTTATTCGTGATGGAATTCAAGCGCGATAGTGTGATTTCTTTATTTTTGCTGGAAAACCACAGGTGGCTATCGTTAGAGCACTCCAGCATTTAAATGTGAACAAACCTTTTGTATCTCGTACCATCGCTTATTACGGTGATACTGGGAGCGTAGTCCGACGTCAAGGAAGTGGACGGAAGAAAACAGCAATATCAGCAGAAATGGTTCGAAAAGTAAAGAAGTGACTTCATCGAAACCCGCGCCGCAGTGACCGAAAAATGGCTCGTGAGCTGAACATATCGCAATATTCCATTCGGCAAATATTGGAAAATGAGCTGGGGGTAAAGCTATTCAAATTCCAACAAGTTAAAAAGAAGTAAGTTCGGCCGGGCCAAACTTTGAATACCCTACACCATTTGGAACGAATTTGGAAATTTAAAAAAAATAAAATCCTTAAAAAATTCTGTTAAATTTCAAAAATATCGAATATTGTCGTTATATTGGGGTCTATACGACGTAGACCTACATAGGCATTGTTTGTCATTAGCCATTACCATATTCAAATTCGAAACTTGAAATAAACGGTGAAAAATGTAGATAAAATCATCAAAATATCGTATATAGGGAGGTACCATTATATCAGAGCTGTGCGAAGTCCAGGAACAGCATAGACAATTTCCTGTCACAAGCTATAGCATCCATTACTAACGTTAATACGATATCTCAAACAATTTCGGTGGGTTTGTACCTAAACTCGCCAAAATACCGAATATAGAGAGGTACTGATATATGGGGCCTATACGAAGACCTGGACCTGCATAGACATTTTTCTGTCACAGACTGTAGTTCCCATTACGAACTCTAAATACGTAATTTGAAACAATTCCGGTGAATAATGGCGCTAAAATCATCAAAATACCGAATTTTGGGAGGTTATATATGGGGGCTATACGAAGACGTGGACTTGCCCATGTAATTTTCTGTCATAGTCTGTAATATCCATTTCGAACATCAAATACCAAAGTTGAAACGATTCCGGTGAATAATGTCGCTAAAATCATCAAAATACCGAATATCGGGAGGTACCGCTATATGGGGCTATATGAAAACGTGGACCTACATGGCCCATTTACGAACTTAACCTACTGTCTACTGAAAAAATAAACTTGTGTGCAACATTTTAGCCTTCTATCTCAATTCGTTCAAAAGATAGCGTGATTACAACAGACAGACAGACGGGCAGACAGACAGACAGACAGACATGGCTAAATCGACTTAGAGTTTTACCCTGATCAAGAATATACACACTTTGTTGGGTCTGACATGAGTATTTCGAGGAGTTACAATCGGAATGACAAAGTTAATATACCCTCCATAGTATGGTGGAGGGTATAAAAAGTGCAGGAACTTACAAGGCAACAGAAAGAAAATAGACTCAAAAGAGCTAAAGTGTAGCTTCGCTTGGCCGAAAGTGGTGAACTGTCGAATTTGGCTTTTTCCGTTGAGAAAACAGTCGTTGTCCAGCAGTTTGTAAACAAACAAAAGGATCGTGTTTACTTTTCAAGACGTCAGCTGAAAATGTGCACCTTCGGTTGGCCACCAGACAATCGCCGACTATGGTGATGGTGTGGGCCACCATAACAGCCGATGGTCACTCTCCGCTCGTATTAATCGACCGTGGCATCAGAATAAATGCCAAATATTATCGCGAAAGTGGAAGGTGTATTAAAGTCTTGGGCGCGCAAAAATTTTGGCCGCAAAACTTGGACATTCCAACAGGACTCAGCCTGCGCCATCCAAGAATAGTTACAAAATGAGGTTCCTATCTTCATTTCCAGCGCACAATGACCACCAAAATATCCGGATACCAATCCGTTGGACTATTGTGTCTGGAGTATTTTGAAATGCAAGGTTGGCACTAAAAATACCAAAGTGTATAGATATAGCTATAGCTATATCTGAACCGATTTTCTTCCGTTTTTATCTACGTGCTTCTAGACTGAATTCGGTCGGATGTGCCAAATGACCTGAATCATTTGGACTGATATTGGACATTTGGTGCACAATCAACCAGAAATCGGTTGAAGATATGTATGGGAGAAATACCTAAATTTGAACCGATTCACGATTTTGTTCACGAAAATACATTTACAGAGGCACTGACATACATAAATCAAATCAGAGAGTGATTCTACGAAATTCCTCAAAAGTAAAAATAGGTCTATCTCGCTTTCTTCTGCATATTACAATCAAATGTACAAAGACACAATACTCTTACCACTATATGATGTAGGTATAATAACTCAAAAATAATCATTACAAACTAAAACGACGGGCTAGCAACGCGGACCAGGTCAGCTAGTCACTTATAATTTGTTTATAAAAAAAATACATATGTCGAACCTTTCACTATGTGAAAGTTCTGGGCTGGATTCATGTTCTATGAAATTTCGATATGAAAAATATTTCCTTTAAAAATGTTTTCATTCGACATTTCAATCCTTTATAAAATTTTTCATTTTAAACTTTCATAGAACGAGAATCGAGGCCCTGATCTATCTCCAAGATCCTGGTTTCATATGTCATTGTCACGTCCCAAAATATTCGAGTGTAAATTTATTATCATAAGGTGACATTTCGCAAACAAAGCTGCAGTGTAGATCCACTATCCACTACCTGAGATCTAAAATTTTCTGAAAGTTTCAGATGTATGTTACCATCAAATTAGCTGAGGCACAAAGATTTATTTTTTAAAAAATATTAATTTTCTGTTGGCATAAAGATTGGTTAGTAGAGCCGGGCTGCGATGAAGTGTGCTAATCACATACGAAAACATCAGACAGTATCTGTACATGACTGAAATTGGCCTATGTGACACATTTTTTTCACTATCAAACATTTAAATTATGCTGTCAAATTTTTGTATTGTCACAAAGAATTGGCTTAGAACTTTAAATCCTTTTGAAATATAATATTTCCTCCCTCCTTCTCTTGTAACTTTTCATCTTCAAGATTTGCATTTGTGCTCTATGACAAAAGCCGATGAATGGCCTTCTGGAAAAAATCCTTCATTGTTGTAGCAGCCGTTGATGCACGACCTCACTTAACATTTCATCTTTGCAACACTCACAAGCCCTGTTAAAATATTCAGGAGTTTTTATATACCCAACTACTTTACATCACACTCCACCAAGCTCCCAAAGGTTTAGTGCAATTCTGCACAGTTGGTAGCTGTTGCTCATTCTGTGGATGTCTCTGTTATGACTGGTGACGATGCGTCTTTGTCTCAACATAATGAAGAGACCTGACTCTCTTTCGCCATGTTACTCGCTCACTGTAAACCAGCAATGCTGCAAAGACTTACTAACTAACTAGCCTGCTTGCTGGCTTACTGACTGAATGAGTGACTGGCTTTTGGTTTACATTGGAAATTTTAAAATACACCACAATAACCATAACAACAACAACAACAATACCACCAATAAAAACAAAACCAAAAAAATGAATTGTTTTAAACCATGGTCTTCATATAGAGTATATAAACCATGTGCAGGCCATGTTTGGTTATCAGTTCATTTTTCAATTTGGTATTATAAGCCAAGAAAGCCAAAACCTTCATCAACATCGCCAAATAAATTTTGGATTATCCTTCACAACTGCTACAAGGATTAAAACTTTGAATTGAATTTTTAAATCGTTATTCCAGAAATAAATCCATTCAGAAATATGACCAGTCTTAAAGTTATTGTAAGTTAAAAACAAAAATAAAAAAAAACACAACAACAATAAAAAGTGAATGAACTGAACAAGAAAAGGCATCTAAACGAAAAGTGAAATGTTGAAAAATGAAAAAATCGATGGTGTCACAAAGTTGTAAATCAATCAAAAGAATTATCACTGGAACTATTGCTTTGACATAAACATGTTCAGAATTGAAAGACTTCAATACAAAAGAATAATTAATACAATGGATATTGAAATAGAAAAATAGTTTGAATTTATTATTCAGAATTTGTCTACATGTCGTGGGAAAGTGTTTGATTTTGTTATTTATTCTTCATGTGACGAAACGGAATTCAGTCACGTTTTTTCATGGTGTGCCAAAGAATAATTAAAAATGTAAAATATTGAAGAAAAGAGGAATTAGCCAGAAGCCAGAAGATTGTATAGAGAGAGTGAAACTGTGATATAGTGTCCGTCAAATGTTATTGATAAGTTGAAGCATGCGGAAAAACTTACATCCGTTTTCTGAAAAAAAATTATGTTTTATTGGCATTTCAATTATTCAAGATTCACTCGAAGAATTAATGTGTTAAACCTGTCTTAGGACAAAATCCCTTCCATGATATTTGGAATTGATCTAACGACTTCCGTGTGTTTGTCTGTTAGGTTAGCTATCTCTCATAATGAGTACCTTGTTTTATCCAAACTTTGTCTAAAGAAGGACTATATAGGTCGACTCCTTCTAGTACCTTAAGTCATCAGAGTGTTTATAACCTACACCGCATAGTGGTAAGGGAATTATGTCTTTGTGCATTTGTTTGTAACATGGAGAAGGAGGCGAGATAGACCCATAGTTACTATTAAGGATCTTCATAGAACCAATTTCTAAGTCGATTTATGCATGTCTTCGATAATTTCATTAATAACAATACGAGGATTATGTATTATCGTCGAAAATTTTAACTCTCAAACAAGTCAACAGAGGGATCTCTTAAGTTCTTCTACAACACTATGTGTTGGGGGTATTATTAGTTTGATTAGGCTAAAAATTATGTAACATTTGGAAATATTGGTCGAAGACATAGGGTGTTATATGTGGATCTTCCTTTCTCGCCGAGCTGAGTCGATCTAGCTACGTGTGTCCGCCTAAGGTGGAGGAGATGATTGCAAAATATTTTGAGGTCGAAATGGACCAAACACAGTAGACAGCATACCGGAAATAACAAGCAATCAGCTGATATGTCCAAACAAAACAATTTTCAACCATTAAAAACAATAGTAAGTAAAGGTTAAAAGTCGAGCTATATTATACCTATGCGAATTTAGTAGAGCTCCCGCAACAAAAAACTTTATATTGGGATTTTTTGTGAAGTAGATCACACCAACTATGAACCTTATTTGAATGGGTATTATGGCCTTTGAGTAGTCACAATTTGGGAACTATATCCAACTCTGAATAGATTTTCAACAAATTTGACGGAGGCTTTGGTACCTCTAGTACCAAATAACATTGCTGTATAGTGCATGATATGACTTCGATAAGAATTATATTAAGAAATTTTTATTGAAGCAATACATATATCGGACCGGTTGAATATGAAAAAATCTATCCAATTTAGGTTGATATTACATATATGGTGGACAATAACCGTAAAATCGGATAAAGATGTATATCAAAGGTGAATACAAATCTGAACCGATCTCGATAAAATTTGGCAGAGGTATTTTCGAGCAGCGTCTCATGCCCGGTATAGAATATCATTGTTGTGGAGTGCATATTACTCATGTGAGGAACTTTAACCTCAAGTCGGATGAAACATATATATGGGAGCTATAGCTCTATCTGAACTGATTTTTGAAAATTTGAAGTACTTCTTTCTAGGATGAATTCAGTCGGAATTGTCAAGATTCAGTTCAATTGGCCTGATATAAGCCATTTGGAGCCAAATAAACCTAAAATCGGATAAAGATTTATATGGGAGCTTTTTCCAAATCTGAACCGATCTTTACAAAATTTGAAACACTTATTTCTGAGCTGTATCTGATATTTGCTACCAAAGATTATTGTTGTGGAGTGCATATTACGCATGTGAGGGACTTGAAACCCTAAATCGGATGAAACATACAGATGGGAGCTATAGCTATTTCTGAACCGATTTTCACCAAAATTTTAAGTAGTTGTTTCTGGGCTGAATTCCTTGGAATTTCCAAGATTCATTCCATTAAGGCTAATATAAGCCATTTGGAGCAGAATAAACCTAAAATCGGATAAAGATATATATGGGAGCTTTTTCCAAATCTGAACCGATCTCGATAAAATTTGACAAAGGTATTTCTGGACTATATTTAATATCTGTTACCAAATATCATTCTTGTGAAGTGCATATCAGGAATGTGTGGGGCTTAAACACGAAATCAGATAAAACATTTGTATTGGAGCTATAGCTATGTCTAAAGCGATTTTCACCAAATATTATGTACTTGCTTCCAGACTGACATTGACTACTTGATGCACAATTAACCCGAAATCTTTTATAGATATATATGGGAGCTATATATAAATTTGAACCGATTCTCACCAATCTCAATGGGGTTCATCCTTGGGTCAAAAAAATATTGTTTGGGAAATTTCCTCTCAATAGGATAATAAATTCGACCTGCATTTTGTTCACAATAATAAATGGACGGACAGACGGACAGACTGACTGCCAGGCTGACATGCATAAATCGACTCAGGAAGTGATTACAATAATACATGGATGGACAGACGGACTGACATGCATAAATCGAACCAGAGTGAGTTTATGAAGATCCTTAAAAGTAAATATGCATCTATCTCGTTTTCTTCTCCATGTTACAAACAGTAGTAAAGTAGTCATGTATGGAAGTTTTTGGAACCGTCCATGGCCCTATGTCTTAATATAAATAAAAAAACGAAAAATGCTCTTTTCTCGTTTAGGACTTTAAAGAACTGATAGAATTCTTCACTCCTTAAACCACTTGTTCGTATTTTCTTTAAAATGCGACTTGGTTATTGTTTTGGCTATTAAGCTATTGTGGCGTTTTTGGGTATAATAATCTTACTTCCGTGTTTGTAAAATTTCAGCAAGATACGGCGATATTATATTCTACTGCTAAAATTTACGTCGGTTATTTTGTTGCATTGACAAATTCAACATTTTTGCCTTGGATAATAAACATAGATATCAAAAATGTTTCCTACAAGTCATTCAGTCAAACACAAAGCTACTACAAATACCTATACCTAATCTACAACTCATCCAAATTAAATAACAAAAGATAAAAAATGTCCCTTGGACAATAACAAAAATTTGATAACAATTTTCATTCCATTTAAATTTACAACAGCGAACAAAAGTCCGACATAACTTCAGTTCATTTCTCGTTTATAACGATCGTCTCGTCACCTTTTGTTTACCATAATTTCTGTATTAATTAATTTGCATTAACTAATGAATGAATGGACAGAAAGACAGACAAATAAATAACAAAATAGTTTTATTTCATTTTTTTTGCTTTTTTCATTTCAGCTACTTTTGGCTTTGATCGGCTTGGCTTATGCCACTCCAGGAGGCTTCTTTGGCAAACAGTAAGTATTTCCATGCCCGGGGCGAATGTAATCTATTTTGTTTTGTTTTTTTTTTTTTTTTTTTCATTTGGCATTACATTATCCAGAAACACATAATTATCGTTGTCAATTATGCCAACAAACCAACAGATAGACAAATAAATGAATAGAAAGACACAGACAGACAAACGGACATGCAAAGTTGGCTATCATTCCCATGGCCAAGATTGCTGCCATGCTATCTATTTTATTTTGCATTGTTTGTGGCATTTTTTGCTATTCATTAACATATTGCAGGCGTAAGTTGTGTCTCGGTGTGTGTGCGTTTTTCTCCGATTATCTTTGTGCGGGGTTTGATGGTATATTCGAGAAAATCACAATTGTGTTATGAATGGAGACCGACAAAAGGTTTATTGCTTTGCTTTGTTTTTGTCAATGCCGTAGCTGGTCTATTATTTTCCTGAGGAGAACGTTTGCCCCAGCCTAAAAGTATGCACATTAATTTATATTTGTAAGAATTCCAATACTTGTCCGCCCGATATTAATAGATGGTGCGCATTTGAAAGTAATTGGCAATCTTTTTGCACATTTCAAACCTTTCAGAGCCAATTTCATATTTCAAATCGTGTTATCAATAGTAACTCCTATCTAGTCACTCCTCATCTAGTATTAGTAGGATATTTCACTTTTAGGGTATATCATACTACTTTGCACTACAAAAGGTTAGGGATACGTAATCCATCATTCGACCTTTGGAATTGGGTAGATCTTTGGCTGCAATAACAGTTACAAGGTCGTCCTTTTGCATTCGATTTTACGATGAGGATTCTTGGTCGAATATTTTTTTTGAGCCAAGAAGTATGCAATTTTTTAGTGTTTAGTTGTTATTTTCACCACTTCTTTGCTGCTATGTTCCGATAGATGGCGTTAGAAGCAACGCTTCGTGTTGTAAAAATCCTAGTCAATAAAAATGCCGAAATTTAGTATTTTTATTAGTAACAAATGTAACAAATATTTCTGTCTCTGTAGAATACCTAAAATCCTTTCTATATTCACATTTTTATTCGTAACCCTAATATTGAATTTCATGATCCAAGCTTCATCTTCAAGCAACAATTGAAAATGCTTTTTATCTACGCTTCTGACTATTTTCATGACAAATCTCTGTAACTCAAACATTGCTCTCATAATGCCTCCCATTACATCATCCGAGGCGCCAGTTCAAGTGAATGTATCCTTAAAAACCATGGCATTTTCCTCTTCAATTTCCTTTGTTTAACAACAAACTGGCTAGTTATCTGCCTGTCTCTGTTGTTTGCTTTCAATCGAAACATGACTTGCCTGTGAAATATTTTATGATTGGATTAATGTTGGCACCTAACATCTAATTGGAGGCGATCTGCGTCATCGAATTAACCCATTGTTTTATCACATAGTATTTTCCTAGTCTACTTAAATTTCCACATCTGGACTCCACAGATAACCAGTAATGAAAGGTCAAATGTCGGACGGGACCGACTATATGATACCCTATACCACTATGCGTATTTAGTAGAGCTCCCGTAACAAGAAAAGTTTATACTTCGAATTTATGTGAAGTAAAACAGACTAACTTATTTGAATGTCTATCATGGCTTTAGAGTAGTCACAATTCGGGAACTATAACCAACTCTGAGTCGATTTTTAACAAATTTGACTGAGGGTTTTGTACCTGTAATACAAAATAACATTGCTGTATAGTGCATGATATGACTTCGATAAAAATTATATTAATAAATATTTATTGGAGCAATACATATACCGGACCGGTTGAATATGAAAAAATCTATCGAATTTTGGTTGATATTACATATATGGTGGGCAATAATCGTAAAATCCTATAAAGATGTATATCGAAGGTACATATGAATCTGAACCGATATCGGCAAAATTTGGCAGAGGCATTTTCGAGCTGTATCCGATGTCCGGTATCAAATATCATTGTTGTGGAGTGAATATTATGCATGTGAGGGAATTTAACACCAAATCTGATGAAACATATATATGGGAGCTATAGATATATCTGACACGATTATAACCAAAATTTGAAGTATTTGCTTCTAGACTGAATTCGGTCGAATGTGCCAAAAGTCAGGTCATTTGGACTGATATGGGCAATTTGGTGCACAATGAACCCGAAATCGGTTGAAGATATATATGGGAGCTATATCTAAATTTGAACCTAATTTCAATAGGGTTCGTCCTTGAGCCAAACAAATATTGTTTGGAAAATTTCGTCTCAGAGGAATAATAAGTGTGCCTTGCGTTTTGTTCACAGAAATACATGTGCAGACGAGCGGACGGACTAATATGCATAAATCGACTAAGAAAGTGATTCTATCAAGATCCTCGAAAGTAACTATCTCACTTCCTTCTCCATGACATAATACCCCTAACACTATGTGGTGTAGGGTATAAAAAATACACCAACTAGTAAACCAAAAAAATTCCAATTTAAACACTTTAAGTAATATATCCTAAAGAAAATTGCCTAAAATATTACTAAGTAATTTAATTTATACAACTTCTTTTCAAAAAGTTGATATTTCACAATCCAAACCTATTTCGGTTTCACAGCCAAGTCTTTTGCAAATGTTGTTCCTACCTAATGTTTGTGTCTTAAGTCTTTCGTTTGCTAAGGAATTACATTTTCCTATTCATTTTCATTTTTGTGTCAAAATAATCAATTTTGTAATTTTAAACACGTTCATAAACATGTCGCCAGAAAAATTACGAAAATTCAACAATCTTCCACTTCATTTGATTTGACATAAATAATTTTTCCGAATGAAAGACTTCAGACGGAAACTGGTTATCATAACCGAAATTAAGAAACTCATATCAAATACCATCGAATTGCTTGTGTGGTTTGAAAACAGGAATGTCATACTGTTCAGTGCTTAAATTTGAAACTTCTTTATTCGCACGATTTAAGGCTGCAGCATATTGGAAAACAACAAATGACTTTGGCAACATTTAAAATCATTTTTTTTCTTTGAATATTCGAACACAAATTTGTTTGTAAACAAGTAAGCAAAGGCTACAGTCGAGCGGGGCCGACCGTTGAATACCCTACAACACTACAATAAACGATACAGTTAATATAGGCGAGATACTCGAAAGAATTCCACAAGATATTGTGACAAATAATAAAAGAAACCTAATTTTCGAATAATAGCAACTTAAACTAATTTGCTTATTTCCAATTTATTGGTAGACGTTGCACGTAAATGGTCTTCCTAGATCTGGAACCAATATTTCCCAAAGACCTATAATCTCTCAGAAGTGGCAAAAGAATAACATTTATTATTGGTTTTTGACTGAAACACATCTATATGAGATACAGTCATTTGACTATATTCTTCAACTAAATCAGCGTTAACGAAATAGTCAGAAGTGCGTCTTTCCTGTATTTGTGAATTCTCCAAAAAGTCACTGGAATGGACATTTTCGTATTTTGTCTACAAAAGTTGGCAAACTCCTTTACACATTGAATATTTTTGGATGGCCATCCGAAACTGCTTGGCTTTTGCAATGTGCGGTAACCCCCATTCAAATGTGCATGCGGATCGGGCGATAATTACGACCTTCTGACAATTTTGCAGTTTTTTGGTCCATTTTAACCCCTAAATATATGGCGATCATCTCCAAAAAGAGTAGGCTTTTATTCTGACCCTCATCTTATCCACATTCAATATTTCGTAAGGATCGGGCCATAAATGCGATCTGTATATTATATTCTGATATCCTAACTACTTAGTTTTGTTAGTTGTAGAAATATTACCAAATGTTTAATTGAAAATGAAAATATGCCAAAAATATGACAAAATTGAAAAAATATGAGAAAATTTTACAAAATCAATATTTTCATCTTTAGAGAGATATTTTTATGCGATTTTTTTAGACGTTTTTTCTTTCCTGCCAAGAGGCCATTCTGAATTAATGAGAACTGTCGAAATCGGTTCAGCCGTTCTCGACATATAAGAGATTTTTCAAGCATATCTTCTTTGATAAACATATATATCGCACTTATTTTGCTATATATCCGTTTTGTTGGATGTTAACATCAATATAAAGATCAGAAGTAACCTTGTCATGGCTTTGTGATTTCGTTGGGATTTAAAATATTCGCGGTTTAATGAAAAATTTTGATTTTTTTCAACAAAAAGATATGGTATATTTTACCCGCTAAATATTATCCGATGACCACCCAAATTGGTAGGCTTCTTCCCCGCCCTAAACTCTAGCTACATGCGAAATTCCGCATCGATTTGTCTATAATTGCGACCTGTATAGCTACTGCAAAATCCGACATTTTTTCAGTATTTGGTCCATTTCAACCCCTAAACATTTGGCGATCATCTCCAAAAGAAATAGGGTTCTATTCTGACCTTAACCCCACCTACATTTTAAATTTCGTGAAGATCGGGCCATAATTGCGACCTGTAGAGTGATTACAAATTAACATGGACAGACGGACAGACGGACAGACGGACGGACGGACATACATAGCTAGATCGACTCAGCTCGGCGAGCTAGGAAGATCCATATATACTTTCCTATATGGGAAACCAATATTTCGAGGTGTTACATAAATTCTGGGCCAATCAAACTTATAATACCCCCAACACATAGTGTTGTAGGGTATAAAAATATAAATTTACGAAATGGCAAGAAAATGATAAATCCTGTGTGTATGATATTAACAAATTCAACTAGTTTTCAGTGGTCATACTGTCTGCGTATTAGGATTTATTTAATTGAAAATAGGAATCATGAATCTTTACAAGAAATATTACGAAAAATACCAAATTATGCCCAGTTCATTTAGCAATTTTTTGAAAACGAAGGACTTGCTTGTTGCTTAGCCATTTTGGGCAAAGACTTTAATCTGGACCCATAGAAGGAAATTCATTTTAAGAACATGTATAGTAGGTTTTCTATTACATTCGGAAGAAGTATACAAAGTATCTTGGGAAGATATTTTATGGAATCGCTATAGGCCTTCTGTTCGTAGAAAAAATGTATCAAATCCTCTATCTATCAAAGACCATAAAATTTCGTCCAGCCTCAAATGCTGCTCTAAAGATTGATTTTATAATCTGTCACCAAAAAAAAAAATATGAAAACTGAAAAAAATAACTTACTGCTCATCATTGGCCAAAAGTGCTCTAAACTAAAGAATTAAGACACAAACCGGTGGTGTATGATATATTGGAAAATATCCAATCTATAATGAGGGACCACAGCCATATGACAACAGAGGGTATATATCATTTAATACGACGAAAACGTGTCTCATCGAAATAACGGCTTTAGATTAGGTCCAAACCTGGTACATCGTAATATTGTTGTCGAACTTAGATCGGGTTTGAAGATGGGCAACATTGGCCCACTACCTCTGGTACCTCCCGTAAGAAGATCAAAACTTTCAAACAAAAAGGTTTTACGATTTATGTGTTTGTTTTCTCTTTCGAGACGAGCTTAATGATCTGATCTCAAAGAAAGTGATTGGATAATTCGATTATGTGCAAACTTTGCAAAACCCAAAATTTTTGTCAATGCTAAGTCAGGTGTGAAAATGTAAGATATCGGTGAAAATTTTTGAATAAAATGCGAATAGAGCATCTAATTCTCTTCAAATTTCACACATCCCAATATTTCTACTAAGACAAAATCTGATATCGAATGAAGATGGAATATATTAAAATTATGAATAGCCATGATATTCTTATTGACCCGTGTTCTGGGGGAAGATCGTAGAAGGTGAGATAAAACAAAAAAAAACTGGAACAAAGTCAAACATTTTATACATTTATTTTTTTAATTTTATTGAATGAAAGCAAAAACATGTCTTTATAGACAAGCGGAAGACTCAGAGAGTTTTTATAGTCGAGCTGAAGGCTCAGGAAGTCTTTGTAGACGAGCTTACAGCCAGGGAGTCTTTATAGACGAGCTGACGGCCAGAACCCTTTATAGAAGAGCTGATGGCACTGAAAAGGTTTTTTTAAATCAACTTCCATTGGCCCTCATACTACAACTTCGAGTTCGAAATGTTCAACTATAGAAAAGACTTAACACACAAACTTAATTTTTAATTCCTCTTTTTTAGGCGAACTGTTGGCCAGGGAGTCTCGAAACCAAACCCCTGGTGACCCACTTAATTTAACTCTTAATTAATTTAACTCTTAATTAACTCTAGTTAGAAATGTTGAACTACTCTTAAGACTCAAGACACAAACTTGATTTTTAACCAAGGAGAGGGTGAAATCAAAAGACTTAAGCGCCAAACTTTTTTCTTGTAGGAGAAACAAGTTCAAGTGACATAGTAATTTATAAATATAAATATGTACCCCCCAATGGGTTAATAAACCACATCACTTTAATGTTTTTTATGCACTCCAAAGTGGAATTCCGTTACAAATTTCATTGAAATATTTTTTTTGCCGGTTTTGTTGTTTTGCTTTTCCAGCGGATAAGGCAAAGAAAGAAATGCTTTATTTTTCATTTTTTTTTTTTTGATTCAAAATAATTGCCAGTCTTTTTTATTGCTAATGCCATTTAATCTCTACGTTTATGTGTGTGTGCGTGTGCCGTGGTGTGTTTTATTAAATAATTAAGATCACATTGTTACCGGTGTGTTTATAAGATTTTATTATTTTTATTGCAATTGTCAGACGTTGGCTGATAACTGTAATGCAATCATGAAATAATTATGTGAGTGTGTTAGTATTTTTGTTGCTTTTTTTTTGTTGATGATTTTGATAGTTCGTTGGCACGAGTTGGCTGAACACCACTTATCGTTTATTGTCACACAGCCAGATATTAAAATCCAAAAAGCGACCAAAAATACAACACTCTACCGGCAAAGTCGTTTCAACGTTGGCACAGCACACACTGGCAGAGGGTAACAACAAAACGCAATAAGTAGCCGGGTTATAATTATGCGGAATACACAAAACAATTGATTGTGCAGCCGCTCATTATCATTCATTGGACATATCATTGGAGGGATTCTTCGTTGTTTGTTTTGGAACACATTTTTCATTTTTTTTTTTTTGCTTTTATTCGCTTTTTACTGCATTTGACACCTTAATGCAATGCGGATTTCATAAACACGCAGGCCTCAAGTTCACAGACATCATTAAAAAGGCTATAAACAACATTTTCACTTTCATTAACATAATTATGTGCCCTTCTCGCACATTAGGTGTCATTCCGAGTGAATGAATGAATGAATGGATGTGAATGCTAAAATTGTTATTTGTTTAACTTTGTCATTAATTTAATATTTTCCCCCTCCTCTTACAGTGAACATCACACCATTCACGTGCCATACAAAGTTCACACCATCCATCATCACCATGTCAAGAAGGTGCCCGTCATCAAGGAGGTTGTGAAAGAGGTGCCCGTCGAAAAGTTGGTCGTCAAAGAAGTTGTCAAAGAGGTACCCGTTGAGAAAATTGTCCATGTGCCCGTTGAAAAGATCGTCCATGTGCCCGTGCATGTACCCGTCCATGTTCATCATGAAGATCACCATGGCGGTTATCATGGTGGCCACAGCAGCGAATACATTGTCAGCAGTGACTCTCACAAAGGCTGGTCCTCATCTGGATGGTAAAATAATTAGTCAATAGAGAAATCCCTATTTTAGTCCCAGTATTTGTTTCGTTTTCCTCTCCACCACCACCACCACTACTACCTGTCTAGTTTAAGTATCTCTTTGAGTATTTGAATATTTCTATTTGTTTTATTTTGTAAATATTTTTTTATTTTAATTTTTGTTTTCGTTTTTTTATTAAATGAATTGTAAACTATATTTGTTGTACAATTTTTTTGTTTAGTAGTTGTAGTTATTAAATGAATTACTAAATAAAAGTGGAATTAAAAAAAAAAATTGTTGTAATCTTCTTACTAAGGATAGATGTGAAGAAAATTAAATAAAATGTGTTCCTTTGAAAGAAAATTAGAAGAAAATTGCTTTACACTTGGCTACAGTCCAAGAATTGTTTCTCCACATGTCATAGACAAAAAAATATAAAAATCTTACTTAGACCGACAATTCAAAATTTAAAAAGTAAGCAAAGGCTATAGTCGTGTGGGCAGACCATGTCATACCCTACAACACTACAATATGTTAGAAGCCTTTTATGTCCAAATCCAAATTGGAAGATTTCGCTTTAAACAATTATGTCACGGAGCACTGCCCAGATATTACCCTTAGCATTTTGACCAGGGACATTTGCGCAATATTTACGCACTAGGTCGTACTCTTAGTTGTTGTTGTCCATTTACAGCTAAATATAATACAATGGTCATCCAAAATGCTAGAATTCTTCCCTGTCCTTAACTCTCTTCCCAAGCGTGTCGATTGGCTTCAATTGTGTGATCAGGGCATTTTTTCTTTTTTTTTTGGGTGATTTGAACCAGTAAATATATTGCGGACATCTTTGAAAACAATAGGCATAGCCCTTCTGAGCCTAACCCTACCCTTGTGAAAATTTTCGTGAGGATCGGCCGATAATTGCAATCTGTATATGAAAACCGCAACCTGTGTTGTAAGGTGAAAAAATATTACAAAATGTATACTTCAATATTATAAGTCAAATTGAAAAAATAGCATGCGATGAAAAATATGAAAAAATAAAAAAAAGTGTCACAAAATACTACAAAATTTATTAGAATCATTATTGGTATCTTTTTATGCGATAGGGCATTCTAAATTTGTCAAAATCGGTCCAGCCATTCTTAAGCATTCTAGCTAACATCACCTTCCATTGTATATACACATTGAATATATTTCGATATATATACGATATTTTTACTATCGGCAGCTACGTAACGATCAGAATTGGAAAATTTGACTTTTATTTAACACAAATGTTATGGTCTATTTCACTCACTAAATATTACCCGATGACCATCCAAATTGGAAGGTTTCTCCCTAGCCCTAAGCTCTAGCCCCATACTAACTTCTGCGTCGATTGGTCTATTAATTTTTCAGTTTTTGGCCCATTTCAACCCTTAAATATTTTGCGATTATCTCTAAAAGCAATAGGCTTCTATACTTAATTTCCATTCTTTATTTCTTGAAGATTAGACCATAATTGCGACATATGCGGACATATATAGCTAGATTGACTCAGCTGGGCGAGAAAGGAAAATCCATATATAGGAAACCAATATTTCGAGGTTTCAATATCAAATTTGAAAATTCTAGACCTATCTCTGCACCCAATACCATATTTAGTACCATTCAATTCTTTTCGTACAAATATAGTACACATTTCCAAAACCAGCTTCATATGTCCAGGCTACACATGAACAGCGATAATAATACCAAATTTCAGATTTAAAGCAGAATATATTCACACAATACCAAATTGTACCAAATATAGTACTATTTCGTACTTTTGGTGAACTTGTAGTACACAAACTTCAAGATTCTAGCTACAGTCTTTTTGTCTGAGCGGACCATGATATATATCACATCTTTGAAATTTTACATTCTCTTCAGGGACGCATTGTCGTCTAAGACTCCGTACTAAAAGGTCACAAAAAGTGCTTAAATGTATTAAAACTTGAATAATTTATATTGGACCTAACGGAATGAGCTGGAATTTTTAATTTGAAAAGAGAGTCACTGATGGAGCGCTGGATTGGTGTACCAGAGATTTTTTGAAAATTAAATGTTACGAAAAATTCTAAAATGGTACTTCTAAAAATGGCACCATTAGGATTTTGTGAACGAATAGAGAGCTAAAAATTTGATATTTGGTATGAGAATAAAGATTAGAAAGTAAGTTTAACGTATAAAGACTAAATGGTACTAAATTATGAACAGTTTGCTTTAGAGTAAACGAATAAAGGTGATTGATTTTGATTGATATTGTATTGGGCTAGGTTTGTAATAAATAGGTAGATGTGTACAAAAAATGCACGAGAAGTACAAAATAGAACTATAGTTGGTACAAGTTGGTGTTGGCTGAAAAAAAGGGCTATAAATCTCAAAATTTGTATTAGGATCGCTGTTTATGTGTAGCCTAGAATATGAAGGTGGTTTCCGAAATTTGTACTATAATTGTTCATAAAGTACTGAATAGTACTGTATTTGGTATTGGGTGAAGGGATAGAGATAAAATTCTGAAATTTGATATTTAGATTGGCGATGGTCAGACCCCCGAAAGACTCGCTCGATTTTGCTCAAAGAGTGAAACTCACTCGAATTCGAGAGTGTGCGCTCCTGGGAGCAGAAAAAAATTGAGCAAACTCGATGTAACTCAAATAGGAGTGATCATGTTTTCCTCGTTTTTTGAGTGGGAGCTTGCCGAGCAAATAATTGTGTTTGTATGTGTGTGTGTGTACTTTTGCAACCACCAGTTGCAAATGTAACAAAATCAATCAAATGCTGTTTTTATACCCTTCACCATTCTATGAAGGGTATATTAACTTTGTCATTCCTTTGTCTGTCTGTCTGTTGTAATCACGCTATTTTTCGAACGAATTGAGATGAAAAGCTAAAATTTTTCACACATGTGTATTTTCCAGGTTATGTTCGTAAATGGTCTCACGTTTCGTAAAGCCCCCATACAACGGTACCTCCCGATATTCGGCATTTTGATGATTTTAACGACATTATTAAACCAAATTGTTTCAAATTTCGTTTTCGAAGTTTGTAATGGGTACTACAGCCTATGCAAAAAAAAAATTGTATAAAGCTTATCATTTAAACAGTGTTTTTCGGAATTTGTTGAACATTTTCAAGTTCCTTGAAAATGGTGGAGGGATTTAGAGGTGGCGGGATTCAAAGGCCCGGCCGAACTTAACTTTTTTTTACTTGTTTTCTTTGATTTTGTACACCATCAACCTGAACCCCCTGCCTCCTTCCCTTTAAAGTTCACACAAATCACCAAACAAAAAATGTTCTACTCATTTCCACTCTTAGAGCAAACTCCTGATTTATTCTCTGCTTTTTCAACCAGGATTGACTCAGGAGTGCTCCCACTCAAAACAAAAGAGTGAAGAGTAGACTCCGAAAAAAAAACTCCCACTCTTTGAGCAAGCCTGTTCGCGAGCAAGTTTTGCTCCTGAGTGAAATTGAGCAAATCCGAGCTCTGCGTTTAAGATTTGGCGATGGTTTGGAAATGCGCTCTATATTTGTACAAAAAGTACGAAATGTTACAAAATTGGTTATTTATTGAAGGAATAGGGCTGAAATTTGATACTAAGGTCTGTTGGTATCTGGAATGGATGTATGGATATGGTTTTGGAAATGGGTTCTATAATTGTGCGAAAAGGATTAAATGGTATTAAATTGGATATTGACATAATGTATAGAGTTAGAATCCCAAAGTTTGATATTGAAGTCTCTGTTGGTATCTGAGATTAAGATGTGGTTTTTTGGAAATTCGTACTATAATTGTACAAAAAGTACTAAATAGTAATAATTTTGGATCACTATTAATGTCTAGGATGGAGGGATGTACATTACATTGGATGTGCGTACTAAGTGTTACTAAATTTGGTAATGGATGAAGGTATTGGGTATAAATTCTGAAATTTGATATGGAAGTCACTGTTGGGTTCACATATGAAGACGTTCAAATAGTTATGGACAGAAAAGTTGAATGTGGATCCACTGAGCAGTGGTTTTCCTAATATTCTCCTCAAATGAAAGACATTTTGCTATAAAAGTTGAACATTTTCTTTCCGAAAATTGAAACACTCGAATAATGTATAAAACCTTGATAGCCTAAAAATTAAGTACGATGTATTAAGTTTGGTTAAAAAAGATTGTCAAACTGAACAAATTGTGTATTTGGCGTACTAACAAATAAAAAACAAGTAAAAAAGCAGTAAGTTCGGCCGGGCCGAACTTTGAATATCCTCCACCATTTGGAACAAATTAGAAAATTTTCAAAAAAAATAAAATCCATTAAAAATTCTCTTAAAATCTTTAAAATACCTAATATCGGAAGGTGCCGATATATGGGGGGGATATACGATATTTTGAGCCTATAAAGACAAATCTATGTCTGCGTGTAAAGTACTCACAAGGAACTCCTTGTGTGGATTTTCAGATAATTCCATTGGAAAAAGTGGCTAAAATCATCAAAATACCGAATATAGGGGAGTACCGTTATATGGGGGATATACGATATTGTGGACCTATATAGACAATTCCGTTTCAGGGGTAAAATGCTCACAAAGAACTCCGTGTGTGGATTTTCAGACAATACGATTGGAAAATGTGGCTAAAAACATCAAAATACCGAATATCGGGGGTACCGTTATATGAGGGCTATACGATATATCTGCCGAGGTATAAAGTACCCACAAGGAACTCCTTGTGTGGATTTTAAGACAATTCCATTGAAAAGTGTGGCTAACATCATCAAAATACCGAATATCGGGGGGTACAGTTATATGGGGGAATATACGATATCGTGGACCTGTATAGACAATTCTTTTTGAGGGGGTAAAATGCCCACAAGGTACTCTTTTTGTGGAATTTCAGACAATTTCATTGAAAAATGTGGCTAAAATCAACAAAATACCGAATAGCGTGGTGGTACCGTTATATGGGGGCTATACGATATCGTGGACCTATATAGATAATTCTCTGCCGAGGTATAGGGTACCCACAAGGAACTCCTTGTGTGGATTTTCAGACAATTTCCTTGAAAAATGTGGGTAAAATC